GGGGGGGGGGGGGCGCGGAGGCAACCAATTGATGTTTCTCACATCAATGTTTCACTATCTCTCTAAAATCAATAAAAACATATCCTCATGCAAGGATGAAAAAACAAAACAAAACTATCTAGCCTTTGCCCGTGTGGCTCAGTTGGTTGGAGCTTCATCCGGTACACCAAAAGGTGGCAGGTTCAATTCCTGGTCAGGGCACATAGCCAGGTTGCCGGTTTGACCCCTGGTTGGCTGGGGCACGTGTGGGAGGCAACTGATCAATGTTTCTCTCTCACACCAATGTTTCTCTCTCCCTCCCTAAGGTCAATAAAAAAAACCTCAATATCCATTTTTTCCCTTACCTTATTTGACTTCTCAGCAGTATTGACATAGTTGACCATTCTTTCCTTCAAATATTCTACTCTCTTAGTTTTACTTTTTACTTATCTTGCTATTTCTTTTCAGTATTTATAGGTTCCTTATATTCTACCAAGCTTCTAAATGTTGGGTTTTCAGTTACTATGGCTGTGTAACAAATTAGCACAAAAATTAGTGGCATAAAACAATCATTTATTATGCTCATAGTTTCTTTGGGCCAGAATTCAGACCGGACAAAGCAGGGCAGCTTATCTCTGTTCCTTGATGTCTGGGGCCTCAGCTGGCAAACTCAGGCCAGGACTGGTATCATCTGAAGGCCTGTGCTATTCCATGCCAGGCAGTTGCTAACAGCTACCGAGAGCCTTGGTTCACACCCACATGAGCCTGTCCATGTCCTGGTGGGAGGATGGAAAGGGAAGGAGAAAGAAGAGGGAAAGAGAGAGGGAGGAGAAGCCAAGGGAAGTCCTACAGTCTTTTAGGACCAAATCTCAGAAGTCACACAGAAACACTTTTTACATCATTATCATCCTGTGTGTGTTAATCTTCACCTGAGGATATTTTTTAACACTGATTTTTTTTTTTTTTTTTAAAGAGAGTGGAATGGAGGGAGGGAGAGAGAAACATTGATGTGAGAGAGACACATTGGCTGCCTTCAGCACCCAATGGCCTGGGTCAGGGCCGGGGATAGAACCTGCAACCCAGGTATGTGCCCTTGACCGGGAATCAAACCTGCAACCCTTTGGTGTGCAGGCTGATGCTCTAACCACTGAGAAACACTGGCCAGGGCACTGTATTTTTATTTTTTTGAGGACGATTTACTTATTTATTGTTTTAATTAATCTTTGTTGTTAAAAGCATTACAAATGCCTCCCCCATCCATTGACCCCCTCCACCTTGTACCCCGCCCCAGTCTTTCCCACACTGTTGTCTGTGTCCACGGGTTATGCATGTATGCATATAAGTTCTTAGGTTAATCACTCCCCACCGACCCCCACCCCTGCTTTCCCTCAGATTCATCAGTCTGTTCCATGCTTCTATGTCTCTGGATCTATTTTGTTCATTAGATTCCATATATGAGTAAGAACATGTGATATTTGTCTTTCTCTGACTGGCATATTTCACTTAGCATAATACTCTCCAGGTCCCACCATGCTGTCTCAAAGAGTAAGGGATCCTTCTTTTTTACAGCTGCATAGTATTCCATTGTGTAAATGTCCAAGAAGATGCTTGATATGATTTCAGTCTTCTTGAACCTGTAGACACTTGTTCTGTGTCCTAATGTAACACTGGCCAAGGCACTTTTTTTTTTTTTTTTTAAATCAGAGTCTCACATTCAAAGAAGTGAAAATATATCTGCCTCTTTATGTGGAATGGTAAGGTTCTTAAAGAGTATATGGGACCAGAAATGTTGCTGGGGACTTTTTTAGAAAAACAATCCTCCACAGCGTGTTCTGACCACACAATTCACATCCTTCCCACACGCAAAATACACTTCATCCCCTTCCTGCAAAGTCTCCCTTTATGGTACCAGGCTCAGGCTTCAGGTTCAGGATTTCACTGAGGTCAGGTCCAGGTACAAGTGAGATTCCTTGGGTACAATTTGTTGATGACAGGTCCCTGAATATAGTTTGACTTGCTTTGAAAACTTGGGGACTAAAGAGGCAAACTGTCTACCCTTTACCCCACCACTACCCAACATAAAATGATAAGGCATAAGATAACCTTCCTGTTCCAAAAGGGGGAAAGCAAGGGCACATAGAAGTCACAGGTCCATAGCACTTTTCATTTTATCGTTTTAAATACCATCCATACATTCATGACTTCCAAATGTCCTAACATCTCGGAGCCCCACACTAGGCTATGTAATTAACCATTTGACACCTTCCCTAGGACACTGCAGATATTCCCAACTTAATATGCTACAGTGATCTCATGTTTCCTACTTTACTTCTCTTCCTGGTGTCTCCATCTAGATGAATGATGCCACCATTTATCTAGTTGCTTAGAGCAAAACCCAGGTCTCAGCCTCAATTCTTTTCCCTCTCTCACCTCTACAGCTAATAATCAGCAAGTTCTACATTTTCTTTCTCCAAAATATAAGCATTTTTCTGTATCTCATCTGAATTATAACTGTCTCTTTATTGGTTACTCTCCTTCATTCCTGCTCCCTTCCAATTTCCTTTGGCACAACAAAGCAATGTTTTAATTAATATTACTTTAATAATATTTTAAGTAATATTTTAATGAATGGCATTCTCTTGCTCATAATCTTCACTGCATTTTGAGTAAAATCTAAATTCCTTACCATGGTCTAAAAGATGCATATAACTGACCTTTGCCTGTTCCTCTGACCATATTTCCTGCCATTTTCCCCCTTACACTCTATACGTCATCTTCTCTGGGCTTCTTTCAGTTTCTGAAACATACCAAACTCTTAGAAAGGGTCTGTACACATGCTGTTTTCTCTGCCTGGAATATTCTCTCCAAAATTCCCACCCCCACATAACTGAGGCTTCCTCATCCTTCAAGGTACGGCATTCCTGACCATTCTAAGGAAGTACCCCCCCTTTTATTCTCTTTCACTGTATCCTGTTTGTTTCCTTTATAAAACTTGTCCCAATTTTAAATTATATCCTATTTGTTTACTTGTATGTCCCCATAACTAGACTGTATGCCCCACTAGGTCAAGGGCTATTTCTGTGTTACTCAGCAGTATATATACCCAGTATCTAGGCAGAGTGGCTGGCACAAAATATGCACTCAACAAATATGTGTTGAATATTGTTTTGAGAAAATATATTAATAAGTAATTATTAATAATGCTGAATGTATTGTTTCCATCTTCTTACTGAAATAGTCCTTTATTTCTCTCTTTTAGTAACTGCCCTTCCTTTTTGGCTGCTGCTTTAGCCAGAGCCACATCAGATGAAGTCCTTCAGAGTGATCTTTCTGCACATTACATCCCAAAGGAAACAGATGGCACAGAAGGGACTGTGGGTGAGTACCATTCTACATTATTTGTTTGAAAATATTAAAATCTTCTCATGTGTGGTGATCCACAGAAAATGTCTGCCAAATACTAACTCTAAATATGTTTACCCACTGGTGAATTGTATAGTGGTCGCAAGAGAAAAAACTGCAAAAATTTTTTTTCAAACTAATCAATAAAAGGAGGGGAAAAATATAAAAAAATATGGGCATATTTGAAAATATGTGAAGGTACTTGGAGCAAGAGATTCTCATAACAGGATATTATCATTAACATCTAGACAAATGGAAAGAGTAATTAAAGTGAGAAATGTGAAGACAACAAAAAAGATGAGTATGGGAAAGGAGAGTTTGAGCAAGACCTATTTAAAACTTCAGCTCACCTTTAAGAATCTAGGTAAAAAAGTGAGATATAAAAATTCAAGAAATCAGTTGCAACAAAACCTCATTAATTATATTAAATTTTATATAAATAGAGCTCTTTATGAGAGCTATGCAAAATGTGATTTAATTGCATGGACCACTTCTTTTTTCCAGGCAAATTATGAAACTTTATTTATTAAAGAAGGCATATTAGATTTATATATATTAGAGAAGCTCTAGAGAAATACCAATTTTTATAAAAATTAGGGAATTACTACTCAAAATTGTTAAGGAATTTTAATATTTCATTCTGTTTGTACTCAGCATTTGCCTTTAAACGTGCATAAGGAGCAAAGCATATATTAATGAATCGGAGTAGCTAGATTCCAGAGAATGTGAGGCAGATATAAAAGTAAACATTCCTGTTCTTATGTTATCTCTCTAGATCATTTTTTTGTATTGATTTCAGAGAGAGGAAGGGAGAGGGAGAGAGACAGAAACATCAATGATGAGAGAGAGTCGTCGATCGGCTGCCTCCTGCAAGCTCCCTACTGGGGATGGAGCTCGCAACCCAGGCATGTGCCCTGATTGGGAATCAAACAGTGACCTCCTGGTTCTTGGGTTGACTCTTGACCACTTAGCCACACCCGCCGGGCTGCTCTAGATAATTTTTGACAGAAAATTGGCAAGGAAGGAATTCCTCTGCTTATATTTACTGAGAGTAATTGGTTCACTTGGAACCAAACTATTCCAGAGTCAAGTTGGATAGAATTCCTGCTACAAAGCATTGGTCTTTCCTCTGGTACTGATGCATAAAGTAAAAGCCCTGTAATGAAGAGATAAGGGAGAGTAAATTCTGCTTTACTGCAGCCAGGCTGATGGCTGACTCAGCTCCAGATCAGTACAGTGACATTAAGACTGATGAGTAGTTTGCAGCTGTTAGGGGGTGGACTACTACTTTGAACAATTTTCTCTTTTTCACACCCTTTTTAATTTAATTTTTCCATTTCAGGCAGCAATTATTTATATGCTAATGTTCTATACCACTCCCCGAAGGAGAATACTTAAAGTAGCAAGATTGAAGTGTTACCCTGCATGCCTACTTTGTAAGAATTTTCTGATACCCTTTCCCCCCATAAGATAGCAAAAGTGAAATGAAGGTGTGTTTTTCTTTTGGTGGATATTATTGGTCATTTTGATTTTATATTTTTCCAGCATATTACCCAGTAATGTCTCCATGCCACTGCAGCGATTCAGAATGATTATAATTCTAGACTGTTTGCAAGTCCTTAATCTTTTTAACCCAAATCACTCATTGTGAACCGCACTGAAGAGGATCTCTACAGGGCATATTGTGTTTCTCCATATACCAGAGTGGGAAATGAGCACACTGAATAAGGCCTGCTGTCACTGGCTTAAAGGCACTGAAGTCCCCACTGAAATACCTTTTGTCTTTCCCTTGTTTCCAAAAACAGGTTTTTAAAAAAATCCTTCCAGTTCTTTTCATGTTTATATCATCCCTAACAATGTTTGCTAAACAACCTTGCATATCTGTTGGTACAAATTTAGTTTAGCAGATGTAACACCTATCTAGACAACCTAAATCCAATTTGAAATATCCCCATGTAAAGATTAAAAATAAAAAGGGGGAAATTATCACTAATATAGAGGAAATTAAAATACATTTGAAAACCTAGGTGTTTTCCAGAAAAATACAAATGAACAAACTTTATGTAAGAAGAATGAGATTGAGAAGATTGTTTAGGAGCTAGCCGTCTTCGCAAAAGGGCAAAGGGCATGCGATTCTACCAGTGAACAACTTCAAATGATCAAAGACAGAAAATTCCAGAGCTTTTTAAAATGAACTATTCAATTTCATAAAAAGGAAAATTTGCACAGCATAACAGTGATACCGAAACTTAGACAAATTGTCTAGGACAAAATTTAAAAAAGAAATGACAGATCAATATTAAATATATTAAGTAAAATATTGGTAACATTGAGTACAACAGTTAATTCATTTGATGAGCATTTTATTGAGAGCCTGCCATACACTGTGCTGCCAAAACAGCTGTGAACAAAACAAAAATATTGGGAAGTCTGTTAGCATAACATCCAATGCAATAGCTACTGGCTATATGTAGTTACTGAGCACTTGAAACATAGCTAATATGACAAAAATACTGCATTTTAAATTTTATCTAATTTTAATTAATTTAAAGTAGACAGATGCAGCTAGGAAGCTACCTTATTAGACAGTCCAGGTCTCTATAATAAGAGTAATATACAAATCAAAGAATGATGTAATGGTTTATATTATCACTTGGGAATTTGGGAACTATCCTGATAATTAATATCAGTTATTCATTTCACCCAACTCTATTATCCCTCAAAGTTTCTGAATTCACTTAGCATTTTGCAGTCCTCTGTTGTGATTGAGTTAAATGCACACCCAAATGCAGGGTCCAGATGGATTGGAGTAATACAAATAGGTAACTGCTGGCTGAAAGAGACAGTCTCTGGCAACTGGTGCTTAAAAAAAAGAAAAAAAGATGGGAGTTGCTTAAAACATAAAAATGTTGGGTTGTCGGCCTCAGGTTCCCTCTTATACACACACACCTCCTCAGGTTTTATTTGTTCTTTGAAATTTTTCTCTCTCTAATGTACCCTTGATTTTCAGTATATAAAAATGTCAAGGGGACATAGCCACAAAACATGGTTTACCACTCTGTATTATGTTAATAAGAAAAACAACAAAATCTTGAGGTCAGTTTTTGAAGTCATTTAAAAAAGAAATCTGAATAAGAAAACAGGTAACTGTGGTCACAGATTTAGGCAGTGGCAGGGTGAGGAATATAAAATGAGACTCTAAATTCCCAGGCTGTTCTAAGAACACACAGTCTCTCTTCTTTGGGATTTGTGTCGTAGATCGCAGGAGGCATGCACAGCCATTTCCCATCTGGCACACATTTTCTCAGGCTGTCAAGCTTTATCTGAGTTAGTAAAGTAAAACAAAAATTTGAGAATTTTAAATTTTTTTACCTGGGATGTAAGAGGAACCTCTAAAATACTGGCCTGAGAAAACCTAATCTCCCCTTGGCTATTTCAATAGCTGCAACTTGAGTAGAGGACAACTTGAGTGGAGATGATGAGAGACAATCTCGTCAATACCATTCAGTGTTGCTTAAAAGGCTTTCTTTCCCATCTGTCCAGACACTGAGGGATGCAAGTCAGCCTCAGAAATCAGCTAGTTGGCTCCACTTAATAGGTCAAGTAATGCTCTTAATAGTCTAGGGGTAAAGAATCCTCTGATTGCTCTCCTTTTTTTCTATCCAGGGTTACACACATAGACAGAATTTAAGTTCTTTTTCCTTAGAGAAATAAACACTTTGTTAACCTATTGGCTAAACTATTTAAGCTATTGCCTAAAGCTTTAAATAAAATAATACACCAACAAAAATGTATAATCTACTTCTGAGTTATAGGAGAGAAAAGTGTGAAGAGGTCAGGAAGAGGGAGACAAAGACTAATGGTAATCAAGGTAAACTCTCTGATCCCTGTAGTTTGTAAATAAATAATCTGTTGCTTATAGGCCTTTCATGTTCCAATGAACTGGAGAGCCACTGTTCATATTTCAGTCACTCTTCTAAGCACACGGGGCTTGGCTCACCAGGTGATAACCATCGCAGCCAATCGAAAGGGAACCAGTGCCCTGAACTAGACAGCAGTGGCCAGAGCACTTTGCAGCTAGAAGAAATCCAGCCGTGGCAAAGAACCAGCCCTGACCAGAGGTTTCTCCTCATGACACAAGGATCATCTTAGTGGCAGCTGCTGGCTAATTAATTACTGTATTAATAATACAGTAATTAATAATAATGCAAGAATAAACTCCCTACTCATCATATCTACTAGATAGGATGTCATTTTCTCTCTTCAGAAGCAACATTTCCTTTTTCTTGAGGAGGAATTTCTTCTATTGAGGAGGAGCTTGACTAGTGTGACCTACTTCTGTCTTTACCAATCAGGCAAGTGAAAAGCAGTTTTACAAGGCTCTTCACTGGGGTTTTCTGTGTTTCTTTCCAGAGATCGAGACAGTGAAATTGGCCCGTTCTGTCTTCAGCAAACTACACGAGATTTGCTGCAGCTGGGTGAAAGACTTCCCTCTCCACAGGAGACCCCAGCTTTACTATGAGACATCAATCCACGCCATCAAAAACATGCGCAGGAAAATGGAAGACAAACACGTCTGCATTCCTGACTTTAATATGCTCTTCAACCTAGAGGTAAAGGGCACTTCTGATTTAAGAAAAACACCTTCATGCTCCTGTTTTCTAACAGAACTCCTTGTACACAGGGTGGGGCAAAAGTAGGTTTACAGTTGTGAGTCGGGGAGTTTATTCTTGTATTATTAATCACTGTGTTATTTTCCATACAAACAACTGTAAACCTACTTTTGCCCCACCCTGTAGTTCTAATAGTATCTCTGATAGGTTGAAATAGGATTAAAGGCAAAGTGGCACAAATTTGCTTGCATTAGACAACAGAAAAGGAATTATTTTATTTTGAATAGGTAATGTAGTCACACGGTTTAGAATAGGGAAATAAATCTCTTATCTTTGTGTCTCAAACACTCAGTTCCCCTCCATGAAGGCAAGGGAATTACTGGTTTCTTGTGTAACCTTCCAGAGCTATTCTATACATACAAGTAAAAAAGAATACTGTTATATCACTATAAAGCTGTTTCATTTAAAGGAAACTATTTTGATAGTATAATCAAGTGGTGTTTATTAAGTTGCCACATTACTATTTGCTGAAGCAACACAAAACAAACATAAAAGAACTAATTTGAGACTGAGACAGTTCTCTAATTTCATGTGGTTTTCTTTTTTAAATCTTGGTTTCTGAGATAGGAAAGTAGCTGGAATTACATTCCTGAATCTCTGTTGACAAATTGGATCATATGAGCCTTGTCAACCTAATAACCATGTTCTTGTTATATTTCTCTTCTCTTTCTATTAAGTGTATTACATTAATGCAAACAGAGGTAGGTTTGTTTCCTTTGCCTGTCACTTGCCTCTTTCCTTCACTCAAGTCCATAACTTAGAAATTACAATGCAGTAATTTCTACAAAGCACAATATTTCCTCCATTTAGCAGTTAAATTTAATTAGCTGACTGTGAAGGTCTGATAAGCAGTGATGGTGTGTTAGTAATTGGCGCTTATGTTACAAAGGCAGATCAGGTGATATCTTTGTTTCCAAATGTTACCATGTCTATGTAAATGTAACACAAAGGATGCTTTGTTTGAAATAACTCTTTTACACAACATTGTCAATAATAATAAAAAATTGGAAATTATCTAAATTATTACATACAGGGAACAATAACTATGATAGGCTCATAAGATGTATAGTACACGTCCATTTAAAGTTAAGTCTTTGAGAATACTTAATGACATGGGGGGAAATACATTTATATAAAATTCAATGTATAGTATGATCCTAATTTTACTGAAAAATGTATATGTACAGAAAAGAGACTGGTTATCTGTGGATGGTGGGACTATAGATATTTATTTACTTCTTTATCAGGCCAAATAAATGTATGCCATCTTTATAATAGGAAAAACATCAGTATTTTTTTAAGTTTAAGAAGCTATACTAGTTATTTAAGAAATCCATTTGGTTCCTCCTGTTTCTTGATGCTATACTAAGAATCTCCCCACCAATCTCACATTGTGTAGTTATAGTCTCATGTCCCAAAAAAGGTATTATTTCCCCCCTCCCTCTTTATGATAATCCCATAATAGTATACTCGTCATTTAAAAACTGCTTATACACACACACACACACACACACACACACACACACACACACACGCTGTTTTTTGATATGCCAATTGAGTTTTTTAAAAATGAGTACTACTTTTCAGTACAGGTAGAAATTCTACATGTCAGGACTGTTTTTCTAGAAAGTTCTATTTAATCAGTTAATCTTCAATGGCATTACAGATGGTGTTCATTAGATTGCTAAATTAACTAGTTGTAATGTCTGAAGTAGATATAGACTTCATAATATTTGGGTGTTATTACATTCTGGATGTTTATATACGGTACGTATGTAAATGTAGTATACTCTTTAAAATAACTTTCCCAAAGTACAAATATACCTGTTCTTTCAGTAGTCCTTCCAAATCCTCATGAGACAGCAACTCATCCCTACCTAACAGATGGGAAAACAAGCACATAAAAATTATGACTTACTTTGTATATTTGTTTTGCTTTGAATGACAGGACCTGGACTCATCCAAGCTCCTAGAGCCCAAGGAATGTCAAAGACTTACAAATGAAAATCATTACATACTATTGCCTAAAGGTAGTCCAGGACTCAGAGTTCAGTGATTGATCTCCTAAGTGAGCTAGATTGAGATTTAAACACTTGAGTTGAAGAAGCAAACTACTTAATGGCTTTAATGTAATCTTGAGATTAGGCTTCCTTTGTCAGGACAAAGCACAGGTTTGGAAGCCCTTCCTCTGGCAGTTGTTTTAGCACTTCAAGCAGTGGGTGGGTGGGCAGGGAAATGGGAAGCTCAGAATTACATTAGGGGACCAGGAAGTGTTACTGTGCATTTGTAAATCTGTGTGGTTCAAGTTTTGCCAATCAGTTGAAGCTGTTATTTATGGTGAGAATTCAGTGACCATGATTTATAAGGGAGATATTACAGTTTAGAAGTACGTGTATGCTTTCATTATCTGTGTATCTTAAACAACCTAACATAATTGGTCTTGTGCTGGAAGGCCAATTATTTCCTATTGTTCTGAGTTTCTAATTTTATGATTAAAATGCTTTTCTTTTTGGAACTACTCAATCCAGAACAGCTTTTGTTCAATCCCTCCTCATACCTTCTCTCTCCTCCCTCTCCCCTCAAAATTGTAATAGCAATTTTGAAGCAAATGCATGTGGGTGGTTTCCATGGTGCAAGACAACAACTCTCACAGAGAGGGCACTTCAGCCTGAGCTAATTGGGCATGATGTGTTCCAGTATTCTGGTGTAAACACAGATGCCCTTGTATTGCAGGTATTTTAGCAGTTGATCAGGCGTATCAGAAAAGGGAAACATTTAGTCTCATTACCTGGTGACAAATGTGGTGGAGGAGGAAGGGCCACAGTGCAGGGGCCACTGTTTCTGTGCTTCTATTGACAGGACCAGGAAGAACAAGCTTACTTTGCAGTGTTTGATGGCCACGGAGGAGTGGATGCTGCCATTTACGCCTCCATTCACCTGCACGTTAACTTGGTACGCCAGGAGATGTTCCCCCATGATCCTGCTGAGGCCTTGTGCAGGGCCTTCCGGGTCACTGATGAGCGGTTTGTGCAGAAAGCAGCCAGGGAGGTATGCATTTTCTCATAAATTCTAGCCATGACTGCACTAGCTGAGCTCAACTTGGTCTGTGGTTAAAGGGCTATTTGGATTTTCTCTTTTGGGGCAGGCATTTATTTAAAGTTCTTTTCCAAACTGTTCTTGACCCACAGCATTGGATTCTGTTGTAGTTCTAATTCTCTCTTCAGGAAGAAATTTAGTGGGGTGCTATGATGTCCTGTATAGAAACTCCCAAGTTATAATTTTCTAGAAAGGCACTCCACTGCTGGATTTGGCAGGTGAGTTTTGTCTTTCTTATACCCTATTACCTGTCAGGGTCACACGAGGACCATCTCTCTAAGCAGACTTTTGCTGATAAAACCTGGATATGGTGATTAAAACAATGGTCTAAAGAAGAAACAGAAGCTGGGACTACTCCCATACATTTAGTTCTAAATGGGTTGGCAGTGTTTTGCTATGTATCTGTTGAGGAAAAATTTGCTTGGAGACAGTGAATCCTTAGATGATCCTTGAACTGATTTTCTCTTAACAGGAAGAAAAGTCAGAGCTCATGTCCTGATTTCTTAAGGTTAATCAAACATAAGGTTTTTACTCTGAATAAAGGACAGGGGCTCTATATTAAGATCTAAAAGTAAAATCTTTAATTATCAGTCTGGGTATTGGTACATAATTAACTATGGTACTCTATATTCATTTCTAACTGGGGGCCGATGGAGAATAATTTTTAATTTTAAAAGTAATTACAGTATTATACATATACACAAAATAAGACTCCTGTCCTATGACCTAAACATTTACTCTTTTCGAAATGGGCTTAGAGAGAACAGTGTAATCATTTTAATCCATTTCTTTGATCTCATAGTTAGCTATACAGCAGTAGTGGGGCTTGGAACTAATAAAACAGTAATTCAGAACTATTTGTTATTAGGCAAGAGAAATAGTATTTCCTCACCTGCACCCCAGGTTTAGATTAATATGTAAATCCACCAACAGCAACCACTAAGGTCTACATATAGAGGTGTGGGGCTAGAAAACAAAATACAAATGTTGACCTCAGACCTTCCCGGTCTCTCTTGAGCACCAGCACTGCTCCGCTCTGCCTTAGAGCTACTGGCTGTCATCGGTCTGACTGAGGACAAGACCTGGCCCCCGAGAGATGATCTGTAATCACCAACGTGAAACTAAGAGAATCACTTGTCCTTTTCATCCTCTGTTCTGTTCCTTTTCTTCTGTGTACTTAAGAGTATGGCGCTTTTTTTCTGGCCAAGTTCACCTTATTTGCTTTGCCAGTGATCCTAGTTTCTAAATCTCAGTCCTGCCAATAGTTCTCTTGAATAATTTAGGTTTGTCTCAGCAGTTACTTTTCTCCTTCTTGTGCTTCCCGTGTGCTGCTAACTGCTGGGAAGTAGCTATTCCTGTTGTGAAGCAGCCCTGCCTCCTGTTCTCTCCAGGGCATATGCACTGAAGTGTCTTTATCATGTGTTCCAGGGGGCTGAGTTTTTGAACAGTCTGTGTGGGAAGACATTTTATTGGTGGGTGAGGATTTATAACAAACTATCTCTATATAGGGAAAATGAGAAGTTGTTTTTCTCATTGGCTACAAGGGGCCTTTTACCACCCATGACGCACTGGTTCTAATTTGGGCCAAGTCCTTAGTAACAGAAAGTCATGCTCATTTGGTGGTGACTCATGTCAAATGGAGATGTCATATTAGTACAGTAGTATCAAGAGCATTAAGTAAAGTGGTACTGAGCTACTGCAGTGAAATTCCAGGTTGTTAGTTCTTCGTGCAATGTTCCTCAGCAAATTTAGAAATTTCTCATTTCTAAAACTGTTTTTTGTTTTAAGGCATAAGTGTCTTAGCACTCACTCCAGGGAATGTATGTTATCTCTTGGCTCCTATCTTACTATCCAGAGTATGGGAGCACTTGTGTACCAGTTAGATGTTTTATATGTTATTTTGTAAAGTGAGGAATCTCCCCCTAAACATACAGTATGTCAGTAACAAAACAGACCGCAATATGGTAATCTTTACTCTTAGGATCGATATAGTGGATTCAGCACTGGACTAGCAGGAAAAAGAATTTCATTTCTCTTATGTGTACTAATCAGTTAGTTACCTGCCGTTAGACAAATTGCATAACCTGCCATTGTTTTCTTACCTGCATATAAAATGGAATCATCCCTGCCTTGCAGATCACAGATCAAATGGATCTATGTATGTGCACATATAAATACATACATGCACATAAAAATGAGAAATTCAAATTTAGAAAAAGAAATTTCTATTTATTTGTGAAATCAAGCTATTAATAATCTAGCTCCCAGCTGAAAGGTCTGTATCAATTATAAATTGCTCCTCATTGAGAATTTGATAACTATTTTAACTTTGTTGACAGTACTACAGATGTCTCCCCTTTTGCCCTCCTCTATCCAAACCCTGCCCCACCCCAGGCCTTTCCTATACTATTGTCTGTGTCCATGGGTTATGCATATATGTTCTTAGAATTTGATATATATTTATTTTTACTGACTCTAGTTTTATTTAAACTATTTCAGAGCTTAAGATGTGGAACCACAGGAGTGGTGACTTTTATCAGAGGCAATATGCTACATGTAGCCTGGGTGGGTGATTCCCAGGTTATGCTTGTGAGAAAGGGCCAAGCTGTTGAACTAATGAAGCCACACAAACCAGACAGAGAGGTAAGTATGGTCTGTTCCACAAAGGCAGTTTTCTAGTTATTAAGATCCACTTAATTACATAATTATCACCATTATCTCAGAAATCATGCCCACCTTCCAAAGAAGAAATAAAGAGAACCTTTCCAGGAAGCTGATGAGTATTATATCTGTTGTTTATTGTTAAGGTAGATGAATAAATTCTGAATCTAATTATTTGCTTCTTTTTATTGCATTGCTGTTTAGGATGAAAAGCAGCGAATTGAGGCCCTTGGAGGTTGTGTAGTCTGGTTTGGTGCCTGGAGAGTGAATGGAAGTCTATCGGTCTCCAGAGCTATTGGTAAGAAAAACCAATTAATTTTTGTTTCTCTAAACTGTCCACTTCTGGCTCATTGTCTTATATTAACTCTGATACAACAAGGAACCTGAGATGATAATTTATATTATCAGTGTGCTTATTATTATGTAAAACAACAGTTGGATGATGCCTCTTTCAGTTATTTGATTTAATTAACCTACTCACTTATATGCTTAAATTCCATTATTGAAAAGGAACTATATTAAGAAATGCAGAACTTATTAGTTTCTATCCTTTAAAAAAAATGGAAGTCTTTAATCTTTGGTATACATATCCACCTAAAACCACAGCAGTCCTCATTTCATTCCATTTTGGGTCATATTTAATTTTTTAAAAATATATTTTTATTGATTTCAGAGAAAGGAAGGGAGAGGGAGAGGGAGATAGAAACATCAATAATGAGAGTCATTGATTGGCTGCTTCCTCACTCACTCTACTGGGGAGTTAGCCCTCAACCTGGGCATGTACCCTGACCGGGAATCGAACCGTGACCTCCTGGTTCATAGGTTGACATTCAGCCAGTGAGCCACACCAGCTGGACAAGTCATATTTCATTTAAACCCGTATTTTCCAGAGAATGGAAACCTCCCCCCATATTTTACCTTGCTTATGTCTTTATGTCATTCATTATGAATTCTAAAATGACAGAAACAACAGAGAACAAATCCATGGGAAAAACATTGTGCTTTTTAGATGGAAATAATTTTCTATATAAGGAATGTAATAATTTGCCAGATAACCCTGGGGTTTCAAAGAACCTGCTCCCTGGGACCTAAATTCTTCAAAAGAAGGGAGAAGTCAACAAAATTCTAAAACTTAGAGAGTAAACAGCTAAGTTGACAAAATTCAAGGGTGTAAGTTCAGAGAATTGACCTATAGTCCAGTTTCTGTCTTTGTTTCACTTTGGTACCTGGGTTTATTATTTTAGGTTTCATACCTTAGCTTCATTTTCTGTTTTTAAAAAAAGAATAAATAGATGTATCTATATGGGTGATATGCACATGTGCATATACACTGCAGTTCTTAGTCACTGCCTCCTAAAGAAATGAGTAGCCTGACATAGGGATAACATGGACAAATGGAGTTCACCTCTGGTCCCCAACTGTGGCTTACCATTACCANGGACTACATGGATAACATGGACTACATGGATAACATGGACAAATGGAGTTCACCTCTGGTCCCCAACTGTGGCTTACCATTNAGGGATAACATGGACAAATGGAGTTCACCTCTGGTCCCCAACTGTGGCTTACCATTACCAAAAAATTCCAGAACATTAACAAAGTAAAGTCTCAAAGGACTAATTCAGTTTCACCACTGATGTGAGTTCCTCCCACTCTCTGGGAAGGTGCTGGCAAGCTGTGAAGTGGCCCAGAAGGTTGAGAGAGAAAGAAAAATTCTGCAAATATCTCCTGAAAAACTGAAAGCTGGCTTTACCTTATGACTGAGGGAGTTATTAGGAACTCTGGAATAAGGCCAAATAGGGAAAATTTCTCATTTCTAAAACATACTCCTATACAGAATTATTTTTTGACAATTCCAACCAAAGACCTCTTCCTCTTGATCTTCCTGTCTTTGTCAGAGTTTGAGAGGTATCTTTAATGCCTGTTACAGAACCAGCTTTACTAGGGGATACTTGCCTTTACTTGTTTCTAAAAATATAACAAGGGGAAACTAAAGCAGGGGAGGAATGTCCTTGAATACATTGACAGTCTAAGAGAGAATAGGACGACTTCACAGAGGAAGCGACTTTTGAGTTGGACACGGAGGGTAGTGTTCAGGGAAGAAATCCCAGGTACAGGGAAATACAAATACCTGGGCGTCTAAAAGATTGTCATGTTTTAGGTACAGCAACAAGTACAGGAGGCTGGGGCAGAGGTGGAAGTGCTGGCGCCAGGTTGTGAAGGGGCTAAGTAGTCTGGGCTTTACCATGTGATAAAGCAGAGGCCCACATGATCAGGTTTGTATTTATAAGATATGTGTAATGATGATTTGGAAGACAGACTAGAGTAGAAAGCCTACATGAATGATCATTCAGGAGGCTGTTGATACAGTTTGCAGAGATGAGGCAGCTAAAAATGGATACAGAGGAGGGTATAAATTGATCAAACAGAAATGACAGTTTGTGGGGGAAGAGGAAAGCTAACTTCCAGGTTTCGACTTGTGTGACTGAAAAGATGATAAAGTATTTGTAATAAAGCAGCAGCAATTTGGTGGGTGGGGAGGAGGGCAGATGATGAGTTCATTTTGGACATATTTTATATTCTAGGTACCTGTGGGATGTTTTGGAAGATAAATTCATATGCAACTGGAAATATAGATCTGGAGCTTAGCAAAGTGCTCTGAGTTGGAGACAGAGATTTGGGAGCTCATCCCATTTGGCAATAATATTAGCAACCTACCCCCCCCCCCC